CCGATGAGGACTGACATTGATGTGTGAGTGGGCGGTCTTGCCCTCCGCACCAGCTAACAGTGTATGCAGTCATCCTACACCCGCCGACCGACCGACCGCCCGATCCATTCCGTGACTATGGCCAGGCATAAACCTCCGGCGTACCCTTAGTGCTTCCATCGCCCGGGTGTGGATGTTGGTCGGGACCGAGAGAGGGGGGGCGCCGACCTGCATCTTACCTTATCTTTCCGGGAGGTATTAGACTATGAGTCTACGAGAGAAGCAACAGCCGTCTCGCGCCAGCCAGGTCTTCTCCAGGCACGAGGCACAAAGCTGCCTGCATCGCCAACACCCGGCCCCGTTGCTTTTTCTCGCTCATGCACTTGGTTCCTGGTCTCACAGCCCCCTCCACCCCCTCTGCGGCTAGCTACGTTGTTGGTTTTCTTATTCTTCTCCGCATCGACTGAGATCTGTTCCTGGGTTATCTGGCTGCTGTCATTGGATGAACGACGTCTGCCGTTGCTTTGACCTCCCATCGGGTGACAGATGCGTGGTGTTGAACTCTTGATGGGATGGCGGCTGACGAGTCATGGGCTCAAGCTTCACATGCGGCTGGGTACAAGCCTTTGTTTGGCAATCCAAGCCCAGACCTTTCTACCCAGTTCACATGCTGTGACTAAGTAGACAGAGACTTACATGAGGGTGGAAACTCCCCGCGGAGTGGCAAAATGAGGACGTGGAATATTCGTCGTTCGAATCGAAGCTTTTGTGACTCGTCCGAGCACACGCACGCTCTTGAAGAACGACATGAAGACTTTCTTCACGGTCTCGAGCTACTTTACTCAGCAGCCTGGTCCGAACACTGATGACTCCGTCTCTTCACTGTTGAGCAGTCCGCACATCTCGTCCGAAGATGCTGTGTCCTGGGAGGGGTCCAGTGGCTAGGATGGCTCTTTTCAAGTCGGAGACCGAGATGCTTGTTCCGATCTGACGCGGTACTGGCTGACACTGCTGTCGATACGAGACTGTTACCTCAAGTTCACGATGTGAGGTATGTCGGAGTTGGCTTGGGTCGACGATAGCATGATAGCGGGATAAATCTGGGGAGACGACCTGTCAGATGGGACAGGATGCGACTACCCGAAATGCAGAGTGAGGCTGCTGTAGGTTCCCGAGAAGGGGAACCGGTAGGCGAAGTGCGGTCTGGCCAGATGTCGATGATAGATATCGTACGTTGCTACAATTCCCTCGATATCTTATACGGTAAGAAACGCGTAGCCAAGCTTGCTGTGGAGCAGAATGTTCTTCGGCAAGTCGCTGTCCACGGGGCGAGTTTCCTTCCTGAGCTTTCCATGCCATGCGTAACTCTACGGAGTTCACGATGAAGATGTATCTATCCTGTCTTCGATACAAAGCGAATGAATATCAGACAATGAGCGTCGTCCATGCAACATGAGGAGCAAAGTCCTATCATTGGGCTTCGAACAATGAACTGGTTGCTGGTCCAGCATTGACTGTATTCTTCATCCCAGATACAAGATGGGCGAGCTTCCTTTCCTATCTTTGAAGGCAAAGCTGTCTCCCGCCGCGGCTGTACCATACAGACACTTAAAACCATACTACGAGAACCGTATCACGAGAACCAAATCTACGAGCATGATGTTGACAATAATTTTACCATTATATTTTGAACAATAGGCTCGGCGACGATCTAGGAACACATGGATTCTACATCCCAAATGCGATACTAGACCTTCAAAACGCCGGGAGGGGGGGGGGGGGCAGATATACACACAATACATACTTTCTTAGATAATTCATACCTCATGAGCTTTATAATTTCCCAATATCCCATTCTGGGTAGGGCGTCTTCCAATCAAATATCCAACATACTCTTCACCTGCTGTGGCTGCTGCGTCATGGACACGGCGGTACTGGCGCTGTGACTCCTCTCACCCGGCCCATGAGCAGTCGATCCGCTGTCCGGTGTCCGTCCCCGGCCCGCTCCGAGACCTCCACTCCCGCTCCCGTTTTGGGCGTCGGTATAGGACGGCGGCGGCGGGCCATCTTGCATCAACTCGGCGGAACGGTCGACACGAGGTCCGGCGCCGGGGAACAGAAGCTCCGCTGCGGCGTTCATCGCCCGCTCGTTCCTCCGGCGGTCTGATTTCCCGCTATACGAAGTAAACGTCGACGGATCCGCGGCGTCAAAGCCAGGTCGTAGAGACCCGTGCATGGAGTTTGGTCTCGACGAGCGCCCGTTGAAGCTCCCCATTTCAATCTCTCGTTCTGCGCCTTGCTGTTGCTGCTCCTGCTCGGCCGCCCTTGCCTCAAGCGTCTCGTCTATCCCGCGTCCCGTGGCGCGGCCACCGCCGAGCTCGCGGACGTTGCGCGCGATGCGCTCGCGCATGCTCATCTGGCTGACGAGGTGGTCGTTGTTCTTTGCGCGGCGCCACCAGGCCGGTTTAGGCACGTATCCCATCTCGCGATCGATTTGCGTTCCGCGCTCGCGGCGCTGGCGGATGAGTTCCTTGTCTTCGTTGGGGGAGGTGAAGCCGTACGCGATCTGGGTGTACAGGATCAGTAGCGCGGGACCGTAGCCTCCTGCGTAGACGGCCGCCAAGCTGGCTTTTGCGTTGAGAACGGAGTAGGCAAAGTTCCAGGAGACGAGACCCTGGTAGGCGATGAGGCAGGCTGTTAGGGGCAGGATGAGGAGGAAGCGCCAGGGGGTGTAGCGGAGGAGGCCGGCGAATTTGTTGAGCGGGCCGCGGTTGCGGGGGTAGTAGTGTTTTATGGAGTGGCGGAGGGAGGCGAGGATGGTGAGGTAGCAGACGACGAGGCAGAAGGTTGCTGCTTTGAAGCGGGCGTCTGTTGCGGAGGGGGCGGCGCGGGCGGCGGTTTGGTCTGGGGAGCGTTGTTTTTCGATTTCGCCCCAGTTGCGGGGGATGATGAGGAAGAAGTTCTGCAAACAGTTTGTTAGTTTTCGCATGTTCTTGAGAGAATAGACAGGGGAGGGGAGACCTACCAGCCAGAGCCATAGGTAGAACCATAATGGCATCCAGAACTCGAGCTTGCTTCGACGATCACCCTCGCGCAGGGAGAAGGGGTCCGGGTCAATGGCCTGCCTCTCACTCCAGCTTCCCCAGTGGCGGACGGCCTCCCAGACCAGCGCAATGGTGAACATTTGCATGAGGTACCAGAAGAAGCTGTTGATGATAATCGGCAACCCAATGACGTAGAAGCGGTCGACGTCAATGTTGGTAAACAGACTGATGAACGCCGCCACGCAGACCAGAATCGCATAGTACCACTGCCACCGCCGTCCAATAGGGTAAAACCGCTTCGTCGTCGGGAGGTAATGCCGTCCGTGGCGGTTCAGGTTCGCGAGGACAAACATGAGGGCGAAGGCATACACCACACCGAAGCCTACGCCGACGCCGGCGCGCTTGCCGATTGGGTTCACGGGATCGTAGCACCATGTTGAGTTTTGAAAGGTGCCGTTGGGCAGGAGGTAGACTGGTGTGTAGGGCTGTTCTGTGACGTAGCAGTTTGAGCCGTTGGAGACTGTGCCGTTTGTGTAGAGGGTGTAGTTCCAGAAGCGGAGGACGGTCAGGTTGAAGTGGACGCCGCCGAGGATTGTGTCGGAGTCGTTTGCGCCTTGGGGGTAGGCGAGGAGGGCGCGGGAATGGAGCATAGTGGGCGGTGGTTTTGGACGTCGCCGTCGCCGTTGTCTGATCGGGTTATTATTCTCGAGGTTATGATCGGACGGGGAGGTGTCGAGATGTTTTGGTCCGGGTCGTCCGGAGGTGTCGCTCGGGAGCGGGGCCTGTGGCCGGTGTTATTGTTTCCGTCGATCGGCCGTCGTCCAATGTTTGTTTTCGGTCGTTCGCGGGGAGGGATTGATCGATTGAGTGTGCGTGCTCTCGGCGAGAGATTGGCGACGGTGATTAAGTTAGGGAGGACATTGCGTCGAAGAGGAGGAGTGCGGGAGAGAAGTGGGAAGAGTGAGAGAGGAGAAGAGGAATTGGCGAGAAATGATGTATTATGACAATATGGTTCATGGAACGCCCGGAAAGGCGGAGATGGGGGAGGGGATTTTTTTTCCAGTTAGGCGCGTTTTTTTGGTCGAGTAGTCAGCGCATTGGCACGCTATCTTGGTGACCAACAACCAGTGACCGACCACCTACCTTACAGGCCAATGCGCAGTAGGTTGGTGATTGAGGTGCCGGGGATGGGACGCTGCGGTACCCGCTACCCGCAGATCATTGATGACAGACTGCTTCTCCACTGGATTACTGGGTGCCGAAAGTGGTGCCAGACTGCAGTGGTGCTTTGGTCGTTGTGTGGTGTGGCCGTGTGGGAATTGGATGGGGGAAGAGTTCGGGCGGCGGCGGGAAGAGATGGGAAACCGAGAGGAGCCAGACGGAATGGCCGGGAGCGGCGGATTTGTGTTTTTTGTTTTTTCCTCTTTTGGGATCGTCAGTGGAGATGCCGAAGCTCCGGGATCTGAAGAAAGCTGGTGAGTGAGCAGTGCAACTGGCTTGATCATGAGATTCTGAGGGAGTGATTCCTCGAGAGTCAATGGGTATCCAGCGGATGCTCTTGCTTCAAGCAGAATGACGGCAGTTGCCGTGTGTCGTGCAACATATGATCTTGAAGGATATGCTTTTTGGTCTACCGAAGCTATCCGCGTATGGCTGCACGGCGTCATCGGTGAGTTCAAGATGAAAAATGGCGGGTTTAAACTTGTGGCTGGAAGAAACAAATTGCGGGGCGACAGGAGTCCAAGTAGGTGTGGCTAGAGCTTGTTATGGCTAATGCTCCTGACTTATGTAAGGCAGTTCACGAAAGCACAGTACGTACCGCCCCTCGACCGAGACAGGACAGCTGGAGCTTGAGCATCTCAATCAACAATTCCACGAGCCTTCCCCTCCAAAGCCTCCAAGCTCCCACCCCACGAACCGTAGCTTCAAGAAACACGTATTGACTCCACGACAGTCAATGGCTCGCACCTGCCCATCATGACGACCCGCGAAGAAGAGGACCCCTCCTACATCGACTACGAAGCCTTCCTCGATCCCGAGTTCAGCCCCTCCTCCTTCGCAAACACCCTCGTCGTCGCAACGAACAACCCCAACGATGCGCCCCTCGATCTCTCGACCCCCCTCTCCCGCGTCCTCTTCGACACTCAAGAAATTGACTCACACATTGATGTCCTAACGACAAAGTCTGCCGCCCCTCTCCTGCAGTACACCAAGGAGCAGACCACCTCGAGCAAGCGCATCATATCGGAGCTCGACGCCCAGATCAAGAACCTCAACGACAGCTACAAGCAGCTCGAAAAGGAAGTCATCGATAAGCATGCCGAGGCTGAGGAGGTGCGGCAGGTTGCTACGAGGCTATGGGAAACGCTGAAGCTCGGTCGCTCCGTGGGACGCTGTCTCCAGCTTGGGCGGCAGCTTGAAGTCCAGCATGCTGAGATCGCGGGGTCTAGCGTCAGTGCTGCCGCTGCGGCTGCTGGAAAGAAAGAAGATCACCGAGCGCTGGTACGGTGTTCGCATACAATTCTCTCGTTGCGAGAGGTGCTTGACAACACGGCGCCTGGAGAGGAGGGTCACGGTCTCGGAAAGGTCGATGCGATTCGCACTCTTCGGGAGTCTATAATCACGCCTGTTGAGCGGTCTGTCAAAGAGACGGCAGAGAAGATTATTCGCGACTTTGCGATTCCTAACTCGGCTACCTTTGCGCAGGGCGAGGAGGTGAAGGCGAGGACCGTATCCGCCATGATCACGCTCTTCCTGCTCTCCCCAGCACCGACGCAAAAGATGGAAAGATGGACACCTCAGCTACTCCTGCAGAGCCTAGAGACATACTTCCGCTCGGCGCTACAGTCGTCCATCGCCTCGCTCTCGCGATCGCTAGGCCAGCTTCCCTCCCTCGAGCGGACTCTCGCCGAGATCTCGGCGCGGTGCCAGAATATCGTCGCCTTGGAGCTAGTACTGGAGTCTACGAAACTGCCAGCGCACCCGCTCGTGTCGGCCCCACAGAAGCAGACCAATATGTTGCAGCCTCTACTGGCGTATCTCGAGACAGGCAGCCTACCGAGCTACTTCTGGCGGACAATGGCTGGGAATTTGGGGACCCGTGTACAGGAGATTGTGAATCGTGGTGGGGTGTCTGCGCGTACGCTGAGGTCCAATAGGGCGAGCGTTGGCGATGCTGTGAGGGAGTGTGTTGTGAGGGGGTGCCAGATGCCGAGTGCGCTCAAGGGCAAGGGAAGAGGGGAAGGCAACTGGGATCGAGAGGTCGCTGTCATGGTTGGCAGTGTTGTCAATAACCTTGGTCGCTAGTCACAGCTATCAAGAAAGGCCAAGGGCGAGAAGCCCAACGCTTCCAATGGAAGCTTAGATGCAAGTCCAAAATGAAGATTACGAACACCACACGAAGTGTGTGTCTTCCATCTGTCTTGCCACACTCGCTCTCAGCTCTTTCACTGAGATTATATGATCCATGCATTACCTTCCTGGCCAGAGCATTCGTTCAATGATCCAAAGCAATCCATTAGTGGCGGCAGAGCAGGCAACTTGACATAAGGACTCCGAGAAACATAGAACCAGTAATAATTGCTGTACAAGGAAAATTTAGATAGGAGTACCCTGATGGCGAGGCGATGCAATGTGACCACAGTCAAGACCAATATATACCCAAGTCAACGTAAATAGCAGAGCGATGACCTCGGGTATAGAAACGTTTAACAGTTTTTCATTGGTCTAATAAACGCAATTTCTATCACGCCCGGGGCGTACTTCCGTTCTTGAAACTCACTCAGTCTGCATATTGTACCTCTTGATAAGCCGCGCCATCCACAGTCCAAGAATGACGTCCGTTTACTAGTGTCTCTTATTGATTACCCCGATACTAGCAATGTGCACTTTTAGTGGTACCAGCAAGCCCACTACCGTCCTCATCACTGCCTTCCCTTTCGTCGCCTGGAATGCTAGTATTGCCACATCGGCCACCTAGTCGTTAGGTTCCGGCGTAACCGCGTGCAACCCGACGTCTGGTAGCCTATTAATGGTTTTGATGTGCTGTACAGGATGCAGACCTGGCCCGTTGCAGGAGATGCGGATACCTCGTTCTCGCATACACGATGGCGGCATTGTTGGTCAGGCAGTCTCGGTAAGAGTACTTTCCAGAGCCTGAAGCAAGGAGAACAAGAAAGGGGTTGATCGAACACCCATGAGGGCAGCTCGATTGTCTATATGAAGCAATTTGACCTTTTATTCAGGAATAGGTAGGCACTGATGAAGCAAGCCTATTCTAGATATTGGCGACATGACGTTCGTTGTTCTGTACGTACTACCGTATGGGCAGTATAAGGTACTAATGCAGGGCTGCAGGGTTCAGGTTGGTTGCAACCCACATCGCTTCGGCATGGATGGTGGCTGTCATGCGGGGGTTCAATTCAATCGCGGGTCGCCATGCTCCCTCTCCCCCTCACTTTCTCCGTCTGTCTCCTTCTCTCCCTCCCTTCCTCGATCAGCCATCAGTGAATTATCCAAAGACTCGGTGAAGGTCAAATATCTGAACAAATGGCTCCGGGCTCCAGAGGCATATTTTGAGGCAGACCGATGTGCATTAAAAATACCGTACATTTGGTTCATAAAGTATCTCTGCACATTGATCCATTCGTGTGAATGTCCGGTGTGAATGTCCGGGGTGGTGTGGTAGATACAGTACCGTGCATTGATTGGGCAGTCTCCTTTTGCTTGGGACACCTGAGAATCTGTGTGAAGATTACGTCGCCCCCTTCATATTTATGCTCAGGCAACGAGCCATTATACTTAGCTACCAGCAAATTTAATCTTCTTGAAATATCACATTCGGCTTCTTCAGGTTCTGAAACATATGTTTCTCCCTTTTGTGAAAGTAATTAGAGGTATGCGGGCATCGGGTCCTAGGGATTAGATGTAGTGGTCGACTTAGCATAGGACGATGTAATCTTCACACAGCGCGGGAAGGCAGATTGGAGAGGATTTGCGGTGGATGGCCATCATCATCAGGTCCTGCAGAGCGCATATGCACACCCCTGGAGCCAGGACTTTGTGGCAGGGAATATGTGTGGTTGCGGGCTGGCACACCATCAGGGACTAGTCCCTAGTGGCTGCAGTGGATGTATGTATTTTTCTGTATAAAGTTTTATAGGTCTGTTTTGGCTGGTCCAGCTCACATTTGGCGGCCGGTTCGTGAACCACTGTCCTGCCAAGGGGGGCAGATGTAGGGAAATGGTTCTTGATGTGTCCGATGTGTGGATCATTTCTAACGACCTCCGTGTCCGTGTCCGTGTCCGTACGTGCATTGCACGGGGCTTCACATTGAATTATATGTTGAATGATGCGCCTAGCCGCGCCTTTGCCAGAAACACGTTTCTTGATTCCCACAGAGTAGAAATCATATAAAACAAGTGTTCCCCTCCATCTCTGCCAACTGAGAACTCTTTTTTTGCAATGCGCGCTTTCTATTTTGGGCTTTCGAATGCTTCCCGTAGCTTCCCATAGCGTTCACCCGGGAGCTCATGGTATGAAGCTTCACTCTCCTTCAAGATTCTGCGTACGGTAAGAATCACGTATTCACTAAAAAAATTTCCCTTAGCTGACCTTGTGGACGGACGCTCGTTCATATTCCCCCAACCTCAGCAAGCGCAATTGACGGTCATCGCACCGCTTTCAACATCGCCATCCCGAACGAAAAATATCTCGAAATCACTCCGAAGGAACTCGATGCCGAGAATAGACCCACATTCGGCATTCACTATCACATCCGAACCGAAGCGTCACCTGACTTGAGTGACGGCCAACCATCTCAAGAAAGACGAGGCAGCCGTTCTGGCGGAAATCGCGATCCATTGTTGCCTGGAATCAGGCAACAAAAAAAAAAAAAAAAAAAAAAAAACCAAGGCGGCCCAACCCCGCACGAGGCATCCACGCTACTGAAAGAGGCGCATTGGAGCGCCTCACGCAATGTTCACGCAGAACCAACCAAGTCAGTCATCTGGCTCGTATGAGGCTATCGATTGGGCCTCGTCGACTATCATCGTATGCAGCATCGCCCTGTTTTCACACCGACAAGTCACGATACCTTGTCCGGAGTCTTGGCCCAGATAACGAGGCACCAAATCAACGATATCTTCCACCCTCCCGGAACAACCAGGCCGGCAGAACTTCAAGTCTTTAAATTAATCCGTGTTCGATAACGGCCTGCAGTCGCAGTCTCGAATTGAAGGGGCGTATCCGTAGAGACCTCGATATTCTCAAGTCCCAGGACGCAGTACAGTATGCGATATTCTCATTCTGTTAGGCCTCTTTCCGATGACGTTGGAAAATATTGATCGAAGCTTGTAGCGCTTCAGGGGCAAACGCCTGGTTACTATGGCATCAAGCGATGTCCATTACTCGTGATATCAGACTTCATAGGCGCCGAAAGTTCGGAACTGAGTCGATCCACCTGCAAAGTCGATCCGAGTTGACGTCCGAGCCCGGAGGTCATCTGGCCCCGGAGGCATCGGGACGAAGTCCCCTCATCTCCGGAAAGTCGGACCTGATCGTCCGGGGACTTCCTCCGATGTGCTACTATCTTTTCAACATGTTGTGTCATGTCAAGGCTATTCTCATGCGACATCCCATCGCTCGTTAAGCCTTGATTTGATGTTGCACCACTTTCGGTAGGGTAACCTTGCCTGTTTTGTCAACTCTACCAACTTTCAAGGCGGTGATATCATCAATATCGCCATCACAGTGCCTGGAGCTTGGTGATGGTAATTTCTGTTACTTGACTATGCTCTACTTATCAAAAACACTGGTTTCGTTGGCGCATCGTATGGTCCGTTCTGGAAATGCTTTTATCGAGGTTAACCCCACGGGGTCGGCGATGTCCAATCCGCACTAGCAGGGGACCAACCCCACCACAGCTATCTACACCGACATTGGAAGGAAACAGTGAAATGCACATCTATGCTTCGACTTAGGACGCCTTACTTAGTGACCGATGGGTATTGGAAGTTGATTCAATGGCCAAGTTCAATATTTGGACTTCTTCGAGACAAATCCAAGTATTGACAGAAGAAAGCATAGAACATAGGATTTTCCCACTTTGGAGCCTGGTTCGCCAGACAGATGGTATTAAATTGACCAAATTGCCGCCCAAACATTGATACAGTGACCATGCGCCATAAATCAATACAATTCAGCCTCTCAGCGCTCTCGGCGAGTTGAAATATCCATAGGGAATTCTATTGCGTCCTGAATTACGAATTTTACCATCCATTTCCCCCCACCTGGGTAGTCATCAAAACAGCCTTGACTTCAACGTTCAACATGGACTCTACAGATTCAATTCGCTATGGGTATTTTGGCAGACGTTCTTGTGTCACTGATGGCACAGTCAATGGCAAAGTGCTAACGCAACGCCTCTAGGAGTACCTCGGGAAAATCACCACACATGCATTCGACCACAGAACCGAACGGCGCTCTATCCAAACATCGAATCTCCGCGTACAGTCAGTCTTCTGGCCACAGCAACATGCACCATGTCCACAACAGAGGCACCGACGCTACAGCCAGCAGAGCCTACCACGAGAGCAGAATGGCAGGTACATTGGCTGACTTCGAGAAGCAATTCGGCACCCACCCGCGAAGGCGTCCATGAGCGAAGAAATGAGGGCGCGTTGACGGCGCTATCGATCTCGAGGGAGCAAAGGAAAGAGAATGGGAGGATAGGGATACCAGCAACGCAGCTTCAGGGAGATTATACGGGGCGCTGTTGCGTTACGCAGAGACGTTATACGGGGCAGCTACCTGTCCCCAAGGCCTTGCCAGAAGCTTACTCAAAAGATCAATTTGTCGCTATTGCCGTCGACCTTTGTAGTTGTACAACAGTGACCATAGATCTAGCAAAGGGTCATCTCTCTATCGAACCACCTTCACAACTTTGCGTGTCCTCCCGCACGACTGATGCCCCATGTATAGCTTTTTAGCCTTACGGCAATCATCCACGCCCAAAGGCTGATCTTGGACGACCAGCTAAGAATAAAACTTCAAACTCTGTTACTACAGTGAAGTATGGTGGTAGTCGCGCTATATCCCACCTGATATCAAGCTGTTGTCGTGAGTCAGGTCGTCTCTTACGCGGGTGAGCTCACAGCGGTAATCTGCCGCACCTTGGCATCTGCCAATACGGCATCTGCCAATGCTTCGCTGACATGAAATGGTGGTGCTGGGGACCAGGCCTTGTGCTTGACATGGCTTGGAGGCACCTAAACAACGACACCAATTCACTCTAGAGATTTAGAATTCGCATCAAATACACCCCGTCCCCGTTCAACTCATTGAATGGCATTGCGGGACTGATTAGGCCGCTGAATTGCTTCATCTCCAACACCTTCCCTTCCAGATCCCATCCATCTCTCGTACCAGCGGAATCGAGATATCTTCAAGAATCCCAAACTATGTACATCTGACGAATGAGCCTCTTAGTTCCTATACATTGAGGAAGGTAGCGAGACTTAACCTTCGTTGATGCAAAGTGATATTAGGCGACTAGAAGAAGTATTACGAAATGAAGACCTACCAATTCCAGCAGAAAGTGGAATCTGGATTCATTAATAGCTATGGGTCAGGTAGACTTTCACCAAGTTGTTAATCACCTTTCCCTATAACGATGATACGAGTGTCAGAGGTATCAGTTGCGCCAAGTACTTGATGGCTACCAGGTTTGTCTGGAATACGTAAGTACCTGAAACCAGATCAATGGAAAGCCGTTAGTTGGTATCCGTACAAAACGCAGACATTTCCACTCGGAGTCGTAGGGCGGCCTTCGCACGTTCCTAAGGCGCGAACTCTGAAGCGATGCTACGCCGCTAAATGCTACCCTTCCTCGTACTTGATGGTCAGAACCTTAATTAGTCTCAACGTTAAAGAATCATTAACCCCATACATCGGGTCAACTGCACACAGACGTATCCTCAGCAGACATACATCTCTTTCAACATCGAGTCATGTTCAGCGTCTTGTGTGGACCATGATGAATCAACATCACGAACCTACTTTGTGGGGGCTCCATAAATCTAGACCGCTACCCCACGCAGTCCGAGCTGTAGGCCTTTGGAGTCCAAACCAAGACGTGCGCAGCTCAAATCCCGGCGCCCTAAGGTTGTCGCAAAATTGAGCTTTGCCGACCGAGGCATGATATCACTCCAGGCACCTAAGCTATGATCTCCAACCATAACAAGTCAAGCAAACAACATTTGGTGGGGCATATGCTTTTCCTGTAGATGAAGTTTGTCCAGGTTGTCGTCGGTCGATACAACACAAACACGAAGCCAACGATTGTTCCTCCCTTGGCATTCATGTGTCTCCATCAGTACTACGACCTGTAAAAAGCGAGAACGAGAACGAAAGCATACATGAATGGTATAACAATGGGGTAGAGACGGACTTCTTATTGCCCACGATCTCCGCGCCGGGTAATCGCAGTAGCAAGTGCTACGATTCGTCAGTTCGGAAACTTCAGAGAGCTGGGGTTCTAGTGGAGGCCAGTGCGACAGCGATCATGGTCGATAACGGGGATTAAACCCACCTCTTCCTTGTACGACTAGTCTAGTGCCAATCCTTGCCGCCATTTTGACAGGCATCGTGAGAGGGATATATATCTCGTGGGGGTTCCGGCTCGTTGGAACGGTATGCGACAGATTCGTTAAAACTCTGCATCTGACGACATTGAGCGTTGGACAAATTCCCATCATGGCGCTCCTCTCGCCAGTAGTGCTACTCGCGCTTCCAGCATTTGTGATCTACTACATCGTCTCAACTTTCCACGCCCGTCGCCGCCTTCTTCTCTTCGCCAAGGCAAACAGCGCGACCTTTCCCAAGCATTTTCCCTCAATATTACCATTTGGAATCGACTATGTCTGGCGCGCCCTCAAAGTGGTGCAGAGTGGCGGCGACATCCTCGACGATGTCATTGCCCAAAAGTTCAAGAAATGCGGCGACACCTTCAGCACTACGGGCCTCTTCGGCCCAGCCGAGGTCAACACCATCGACCCAGTCAATATCCAAGCCATCCTCGCGACAAAGTTCCGTGACTTTGAGCTCGGTCCGCGCAGAATCGCGCAGTTTAAGCCGCTGGAGGGTAATAACATCTTCACCCACGACGGCCCCTTCTGGGAACACTCAAGATCGCTATTCCGATCGCAGTTCTCGCGGGAAAACATCAACGACCTCGAAGGCACGGAACGTGCCATGCAAGCTCTGTTCCGGGCCCTGCCACTCGTTGGTCAGAAGACGGACGACGGCTCCCTGTCTGTTGATATCATGCCCTTGATCTTCCGCTTCACGCTCGACACGGCAACCGGCTTTCTCTTTGGCGAAACGGTCGACTCACAAACGGCCGCTGCTCTGGGCAAGATGTCGACATCAACAAGTGCGGTGACGGCTATGGCGGCTGACCAGGCAGGAAGCGACATGTCCTTCGCGTCTGCCTTCCACGAGGCGCAAATGTACATCGCTATGCGCGCCCGGCTGCAGGGGCTGTACTTTTTAGCACCTAGCAGCGTGGGCAATAAGTCCATTGACTACATCCGTCGATACGTTGATCATTATGTCCAGCTGGCTCTCAAGCGCGCAAAGCCGTCGACGGACAAGTTTATCTTACTGGATACCCTCGTAGAGAAAACGCGGGACCGAGGGGAGCTGCGGGACCAGATCCTAGGAATACTTCTGGCGGGTCGGGATACCACGGCATCTCTACTCTCATGGGTGCTGCTGATGCTTGCGCGGCACCCGGCTGTGTTTGAGAAGCTTCGGGAAGAGGTGGTGGCGGAGTTTGGGGAGTACTCTGAGAAGCCTGAGGGTATTGACTTTGCGACGCTCAAGTCTTCACAATATCTTCAATTTGTAATGCGGGAAACGTTAAGAGTGTACAATGTCGCGCCGCTTAACAGCCGGTATGCGGTACGGGATACGGTCTTGCCAAGAGGCGGCGGAGCTGATGGGTCATCGCCCATCGTGATCAAAAAGGGACAGACCGTCACCTTTGTGCCGTATCTGCTGCATCGACGCTCAGATATTTGGGCTGATGCGATGGAGTTCAAGCCAGAGCGGTGGGAGGGTGTTCGACTGGATTGGAACTACATTCCGTTTAGTGGTGGTCCGAGGATTTGCTTGGGACGTAAGTTATGCCATATCCGCTGACATTTCATGCATTTAGTAGCGGGAGGGGAATGCTAATTTGCTTTAGAACAATTCGCTCTCACAGAGTCTGCATATTTCTTGGTTAGACTCATCCAAAGGTTCAAGAGCATGGAATGGATTGGACCGCCAGGCGAGCCGAGAAAAGACATCCACTTTACCATGGCTCCGAGAGATGGAGTCAGTGTGAAGCTCCAGTATGCTGAGTTATAGAATATGTCAAGTATTGCTCTAGTAAAGAATGGGTATTGACACACGATGACGTCTTTAACCTGCTGCATTTGACGGATTTCTTGAGTGACGAATGATGGGTTACTGGGAGCTTCTACCTTTAAGCCTCTAATGCCCGTCAAAGTGCTCTGCAGAACGGATGTACTTCACGAAGTCGCTTCCAGGAAAACTTGGGAGTCTTGCTGACCATGCTCTGTGAACTTGGCAGCATGAGATGATCTGAATCAAAATCCTTTCTTTTTGGTGTAGTAACGCGATGGTCACAGCTGTGTTTTTATAACTTCACTACGAGACGTCAGCCGACCAAAAGGGTTCTAGCAGCGTTGGCTGCAGGTCTTCAGGGTCGCCAGCCATGAGGCTTGAACTTTGAATCTTCATGGCACCTTTTGGTCTGCAGCCTGTGTCTAATAAAAAGCAGTTTCCCACGATGAATGACGCTCAACTTCTAAAGGCCCGCCACACGACCGATCAAAGCAGAACGAAGAAGTTTGAAGACACGAGCACACCAGCACCGCAATCAAAACCACCTCAAGACCTTAAAAATACAGCCATAAAATCGAGCAATCGAGACTATGTCATCCGAGATGGATCCCGAAACCTCGGTCTTTTTAATGTGGTTCGGCATTACTACCGCAGTGGGTCTGACTCTCATCGCGTTGTGGTATGCCCTCGCTATCACACGATTGTAAGTGGGCCATGCCGAAATCTCTACAGAAATTCCAATGCTAATTGTGTTCCAGCTCGGGAAGATGCGGTTGCGAATCTGCGAATGAACCCTCATGCACAAGATGTGGGCTCCCTGTGGTGGGCGTCGAGCCGTCAACGAGCCAAGATGGGGATGCAACTCCACAGACCCTAGTGTCCAGTGCCCCGAGCAGGAAGATAGATGCCTGATACGATTGATGACGAGACGCTTCCTCGAAGCATTTCCATTCGAGAAACACTAGCGACAAAGGTTGACTGAGGAGCAGGGGGTGCCGATTTGTGCTTCTGGAGATCACATGTATTGCAGCCCACCAGAATGGAGTCACTGTGATCTGTGAGATGCTGAAATATACCGCAAAATGATGCAGTAATACTCTGTGGGGGCTCTCATCAGAGTCTCCAATCATGGATACAAGATTAAAAAGCTCAGGATCCAGCTTGTCATTAGGATGCGAATAATTCAAATAGAATTAGTCAAAAAAGAATTGGGCAAAGTTGAAAGTTGTGGTATCTTCGTGAATAATTAAACAATACAGTGGATGCTCTTCATAGGTGTCATTTGTTTTATACATTGATCGAGCCCGGTAATGTGTCCTTTCTGCCGCTCATCTCCACAGGCATGCTATCCTGTCGCGATGGGAGGTGATCGAATGCCTCTGACGCGGTCGATTCCTTTCTCTCGCCGGCTGTGCTGAAGCCAATCGCAGGGTTCCCGATGACCAGGCAAAAAACTGCAACTACCATGACACTAGGACGCGTATTAGCCAGACTATTGAGCAACATCTCGGATGTAGAAAGACTCACGAAGATTCAAGTCCAATGAATAGGGGTTGATCGCGGAACATTGGGCTGAAGTATCCCTCCTTGAGTTCTTCGATACGGTAAGAGCATCGTACCAGGATCAGAATGGTAGAGATGAAGAGGAATGCCAAGAATATCTTCATGTTTTTCGTCATACGTTGTCGAGCATTTGTCCTCATGCAGATAATAAGGTAGTCCGCAAACAGAGCACAAAAGGCGACTAGGCAGACAACTTGGAAGATGAGCCCGGCCAATGAGACATTGACGCCCCTTTGCACAGCCGCCTTGTCGCTCGCAATGCTGGATAGAGCACCGCCGGTTGCTTGTAGAATGAGGGATACGATGTCACACGGGATGAAGACAAAGTAGCATAATCTCGGATTGAATCTGGAGATCGATCGATCGACGTGGAGGATTCTGCGTTCCCAAAGTTAGTCGGAGTTCTTCGTGACTGGATAATTGACAGTATTCGCAGCATAGACTTACACTTTGGATAGCATGACATAGATAGCAGCACAGAAGAAGACTGGACCGACAGTAATGCAGACTGTAGCAAGAGAAGGTTAGATTGAGCCAGACCATCCGGAATTGGATGGGACTTACTAATCTGTAGAAGAAACCCGCCAAATGAAAAAGGGTTGTCGTTGAGAATCAATCTTCCAACGTACCCAACAATCTCGAGTAGACATCCACCGATCATGCTGGCCATGAACCCCCAGTTCTTGGATCGAAGACCCTGGATAGTATGTATGATCATGGCTAGAGCAAAAAGGCCGATGAATGCCCCGTTGACGGGTACCGATGGGCGATAACGTAGGAGACTAGCCTCCAGCGGGCATACCTCGAGAGTACAGTTGGCCTTCGGGCCGAACGACTTGTAGCCGTTCGGAAGATGAGTCGCAGACATGATGCCGATGTGACAGTTTTAGGAAGAAGGCGCTAGGGATCGAGGGCGGACGCCAGATGAGACAGCTCGGATGCTTGGAGAAGACGTTGAGATCTTGGGGCACGGGAGGTTATACTTATGCATGGAGGCATTCCGTGAGCGGTCGAATGAGGAGTTGCCGCTTGCGTCTGTGATCATCCAGCCAAGCGCACGACGGCCGTAAAAGAAGGATATGAGACACGTGGAGCCCTTCAAAACATACGCCCTTGATATTGGATCTAATCGAGGACGTTAGGATTGATCCAGAAGGTGGAAGTGCTCTAGACAGGGCCTAAAAGCCCTTGCAGCTCTTTGATTCTTTAGCATGTCGCTTCGCATTATACAAAATGGGTTAAGACACAATATCCTTCATCGTGGCATACGATTGACATCCCGAATGTGGGGTGCGCGGGATCGCCCTATCCTGGCCCGGCCGTAAACTATACCGCGTTCAGCAATGAAGGATCTCAACGCGGGCAAGGGAGATGGTAGGAAGGCGCCATGCCATGTGTCTCTACTGATACCAGTCAGACGTTTCGGGATAAACGGCCTGGCCGATCGACGTCCCGGGAGTCTGGGACCTATGTTAGTCCAATTCGCATCTAGCTAGGCTCGCAGTCGCACTTCGCAAACCGACGAATCAGCAATGTCCCTTTTGCTGTCAAGGACTCAGAGCCAACCGCAGATCCCACAAGCAAGGGCACCACGATAAGCCTTGAGGCTTCATCACAAAGAGGCCCTTTCGCCCATGGCACCTGTACCCGTGCCAAGAGCACCGAGAAGTCGGGTAACGAGCACCAGAACGCGTCATGTTGGGAGCCATGCTTTGCGGGAGTTGACTCGACCGGAAGCTGTGCGGTGATGATATTAGCTGAGATCTAGAACCCGGGCTCATTGGTAGGAAACAACAAATTCTGCGCGTGACATGCGGGTCTAGCCACCTTGGATATCTTACTTACACGACGAGGTACGTGGAGCTAGAGAGATTGTTTAAGGCGGTTCTCGGGTTGAATTGACATTGCTCACTTGAGCCGAGACAGCCAAGACACCAACGTCCCGGACAGGTATGCTCGGCGCTCTTTTTCGATTACCCCCGTATTCTTAGAGCATGATCAAAATTTGGAGGATATAGTGCAACAGAACTCGAGAACCAGTCGATGAAACAACAATTGTATTCTTGTTGACGGAACAGCCAATCAGGCGGTGCATTCCCATCATACTAAAGGATCTTTGTATCACGACATCATTATTTCTGGTATTCTTAATCACCCTAGAACCTCCAATTTTCTGTGCAACGGTTTCTGAAAGGTTCTAAGGTGGTGGCTTACCCTTGAGCGGAAGGAGTCTAGATATGCCGCCACAGCTGTCTCTAGCAATGCACCACTTCCCTTTTCCCCATCACGATATCTTAGACGAGCTGTCAGGAGTCCAGGCCATGTTAGAGCATGGCTTAGCTCAATGAACACATTGTCCCCACGTGGGAGGAGGGTATGCCCGCTCTTTAGAAAGGACCGAGCCGCCGGAAATGGTAGGTTCGGCGATGTGTTAGACTCTCGAACTTGACCGAGCAATTTCCCCAAAAAAGTCCAACCAAATAAGTTGATGGGCTAAAAGTTCATACCCACAATTTCGGGCAAGAACGATATGCTTTTGCTTTTGCAATAATTGCGACGAAGTCTTGGTTAAACTGAAGAATTTGCCCGAGGAGACATCATCACTTTCCTACTTTTTCTCAGGGTCGGAGTCGAACGGCATGAGGAAAGAAACAACGGATTTCATTGAAGTGAATACGGGGGAGTTATTGCTCTTTATTAATTTACATGCATAGTCTGATGAGAAAATGAACCCGTAACATTCTCTTTGGGATAACATGTGGGCTTGATGCATTGTCTAGTGCAGGACTCCAGCGGACTAGAACGTAAAGGTCCCACTCACGTGGTCCAACACGTGACCCTCCGGAAATCGTGAAAGGAATCAATCTTGACGCGATGACTGCCACGGAGTGAACGGGACCACCGCCACTTTCGCGATCCCGGCAAGCACCGACCAGCGTCCACTGTACTCATTCCCGGGGCCTCTTTCATCTGGACTGACGAAGGATGAATGCCTTTGGAGGGCGGTCGCGGTCCTCAGTAGGGTGGTTCTTTGCCGGCCTCGACTCGTCATTCCCCGATCTCGGGACCGATGAAAGCAACCTCTCAGATCTCCGTTTCTGCGGTACAGATCTGAAAGCTGGTTGCAAAGTGTTTCAAGTGCGGAAGTCGGATCCTTCGCGGAGTACAGAGGTCCTCTTGGCACCAGATGTTCTAAATTACGATGAGCTTGAAGGCGATTTGAAGGATCAGGTCTTGGTTTTCAAATTCAAGGGAAAGTTTCACGCCGTCGACCATGTGAGTCTTTCCGTTCCATGAATACGGGCCTTTGTGATTTGAGTAAGTTCTAACTTCATCAGAAATGCCCACATTCTTCGTATCCGCTTTCACATGGGACACCGTTTGACATTGAAGATTTTGGGATCGTCTTGAGCGCAGGTTTGACATGTCCGAAGCACGGCTGGTCGTTTGATCTGCATTCTGGAATGGCAGACCGCGCGCGATATAAGCTGGGTATCTGGGAGGTTCAGTTGCGCGACACAGCACCAATAGGTGCAATACCAATAGGAGAGGATGTTCCAGATATAGAGGACGTAGATAAAGAGGTATGGGTAAGGAGAAAGCAGAGAATAGGATGATATCTGAAGCGTATTAAAGACAATCCATTTTTACGCGTTTGTGTTGTTCGTGTGAAGTCTTCGTTAACAAAGCTTGAATTTGGTCGTGTGGCAAACACCTACCTAGATCAATGGGATACATGTGACTGATTAAGGTCATGCAGACAGTAACGTGCTGAAGCATCGAATGATACGCCAGAAGTAATTTTGCGGACTGCGGGCAACTGAGACGCAGGTGCGGGGTAGCAGACTTGTGCTGAAGTTTGACCGGAAATCCTCATCCTCGCATTTCTAATTACAATACCTGTAAAGATGAGGTGACAAACTTCTAGCAGACCTTCACTTTCTCTACATTTTCTCTAAGTATATTGATACAAACCCTATTTCATGGTCAAAGCCAAGGCTGACAAGAAATTACCGGTCGCCTTTCTTCGTGAATCACAATGTCGTCGAGCGTCAGAGAAACCAAGCCATCAGTGGGTGACCCGAAGAAGTCAGTGAACGAGCTCTTCAGGCTTGATGAGCGGACTATAATGAGTGCGCAAAACCATGTTCCCTCAAAGAACTTTCTAACACCCATAGTTACTGGCGGAGGAGGTTCTATGGGCTTGGAAGTTGCTCGCTCAGTACTAGAAAGTGGCGGCGATGTTATATGCATTGACAGACAAGAGAGCCCTCTTGAGGAGCCTTGGAGTAAGCTTCCGCAGAGGCTGCTGAACCAGGGTGGCTTCTTGACTACGCTGAATGTTTATCCTGACCAGATCGTGTGCTGAACGTGTCCAAGAGTCATGGAACACAAGTACGGTACTATATGTGCGATATCACGGACGCAAAAAACGTCAAATTTGTCTTCGAGGAGTCCATGACGAAGATACGGTTCCCCTTCAGAGGCTTGGTAGCCTGTGCTGGCATTTCAGGCGACGCGCCATCCATCGACTTTCCGATCAACACGGCGAGAAGTATCATGGACATTAACGTCATCGGCACGCTCATCTGCGCACAAGCCGCAGCCCGGGAAATTCAGAGACAAGGGTCGGCTGGAAGCATTGTTCTTATTGCGAGTATGAGTGCTCACGGGAGTAACAAGGTAAGTTAATGGGATGGCAAAAGCATGCGTAAACTCTGACCGAACTTCCAGGGTGTTGATACCGTGGCATACAATTCCTCAAAATCAGCAGTTGTTCAGATGGCTCGTTCTCTTGCCGCTGAATGGGGCAGCCGCGCAGATATACCCCTCATTCGTGTGAACTCGATCTCGCCAGGGTACATCCGTACACGAATGACGGAAAAACCACTCAGCAATCCGGATATGGAGAGAGAATGGACCAACGGCAATATGTTGATGAGATTGAGTGAGGCGCATGAGTACAGAGGTCCCATCACCTTTCTGCTCAGCGATGCCAGCAGTTTTATGACCGGTTCTGATGTCCGAGTAGATGGAGGCCACACAGCGTGGTAGTTGAAGAGCTGCGAAACGAGCTTTCGGTGACAAGTTCAGTTACTACGATCGAACCAAAGGACTGCATCAGTCAAACTACACAAGGGCAGAAAGCAAAATAACCAATCGGGTAGCTACTTGGACTACGAGCGCTTGCATGACGAATCAGGCAGACAGAGATGGCCAGATGGCCAACAACAAGGGGCCACATTCAAATTAATGAGTCAAAACAGGAATGATTGGTTCGTTGGGGCTGTGAAATGTACGAACTGCATGCGTATGCAGATTTTGAGCCGGCGCCATTTGTGATGTGACTTGTATTCCAGAGCCGGTGGTCGATTGCTTTCGGCGTTGGTTTCTCCTCATTCCACATCACCATTTTCCCCTATTTTCTACCATCACTGATCGCTTCGAAACTGTTAGTATGGATCCGTCGGGGATCATCGGCATCATCAGCGTGGTGGCCCAGATCGTCACCACGTGCTCGAAACTTGGCCTGAGTTGGCGTGATGCTCCGGAAGACGCCAGAAAATTTAAGAATGAGATGGATGGGCTGTACAAAACACTCTCGGAAACCTCAAGCCTTCTGATCCAGAACCCCGACTTCATTGCAGCCTTTGAGGGACAGCATTCTGCGGTGCTGTCTAACCTTACGGCCCTTTCCAGTCTCGACGATGAAAGCCTTCTCTCTGCTTGCCAGGAAGAACTCGCGCGCGTTCTAAAGGGCCTACAGAAACAGATTGAGGGAAGCCGCTTCGGCTGGCAACGATTGAAAGCGATATTCTCTGGCGAAATGACGCAGTCCGCAATTGAGAACCTTCAGCGCCGGTGTCA